TCCCCTTCCTTCTGCGCCCCTTAGCCTTACCGCTACCACCATCTTGGCACCGCTGATGCGGCCGTGTCCACCGTGGTATGCTGCCGCACCGTTCGGAAGCACGCGACCAACCCTGCTCAGGAAGTCTTTGACCAAACCATCACCTCGACCAGGTTTGCGGTAAGCCCTGATGCTTCTCCGCTACCTCTATTGCTCTGTTAGCACCGTAGCTCTCCAGAACGGTTGCACCGCCATCGCAGATGACCATGCACCGTGGCCGACTGCTCCAGTGCGTCCTGCTGCATCCCACCGCCGCTTAGTATAGGCGCTAGGGCCGTAGGTGGAGGTTGGACTATCAGCTAGGCCTGCGCGAGCCTCTGGTCCGGCGTAACCGCCCCGTGCCACCGCCCACCATGCCGCCGTGCACAGAGTCATCGGGGACATGCGCGAGGAAATTTGAGTGAAGTCAAGGGGCAAAATGAATTCGTCAGAGAGACATAGGAATAGTGTTGCGGGTTTAGGTGTAATTTAGGATAAGCTCGAGGTCTCTTTTGCAAAAGCACCATCGCGCGCGGGCTTCCCCACAGCGGGTCGTCTCACGCGTGGGCCGTGTCCGCGTGGGCCACGCGTAAATGGGCCATGCGGCTAAAATCGTTTTTCTTTTTTCTTAGGAATTGGTTAATGCTTTTCTAATTTAATTTCTGAGCTAAACTTATAGACTTAATATAAAATCGTATCGGTGTCCAAAAATTATGAAACTAATTTTGTTAGGTTCCTATAATCATGATCTACCTGTTAATATATCTTGTTCACATAGTTTCATAGTATTTTTAGGAGTTATCTAATTGAATTGAGATGCTTAATGTTGTTAAGATATAAACTTATACGAATTTTTGTAATAAATTGGTAATAGTGTTGGCTCTAAAAATTTCACTATAAATTCTTAATATTATTAGGTGTTCACTGTAATTTTTGTAGCTCCATAATAAGTGGCTTGCTAAGATAGCTAAGGAGCCCTAGTTCGAATATATATATATATATATATTAAATCAATGAAATAAAGAAACACCTTGAAAGTCTAAAGCTAAAACACTTGTTGGGAAATAACGCCTTATTCGACAACATGGATACGTGACCTAGTACGCTAGTCATAGAGCTAGCTCGTTAGTGTGAGAGGCGTAAACATATTTTAAGAGTTACGGTTGTTGTTGATTAATTACGTCTCTGCGTTGCATCCACGTATATCATAATAGGAATAATGATGGATCATGGAATCGACAGGAGAAGTAGAAAAGATGGTGCCTTGATGATCATGCCACAACGATGGAGTGCTAACTTTTGGTTATATCTTACCCAGGCAAGCCCCGGTGCATAACCCCTATTATTCTGCACTTTATTTTATGCTTGTGCATTAAGTTTTAAGGAGTTGAATGAAACCCACTTGCATACATATATCCTTATCCTATGAGTCTTACTAGTATGGTAGGATCGTGTAGCTGCTATGCTATAGGACCCCGGTAGAAGTCTAGTGATTACCTGTCACTCGCGAGAGATAGGAAAGATATTATTGTTGTTATTATCATATTACTATCACATGGAATATATATGGATGATAATTGGAGACCGGGTGGGATTGTACATTAGATCTAGACTTGGTTAGGCATCTAAGCGAGGCTCTGGTTGCATTTGTCCCGCCTGAGTCGATTGAGGACCGTTCGTTGCTGTGGATGGTAGTCAGGTTATAGACTTATTATCCTGAGCACATACTTGCTTATGGGAGCGGGAAGACTTGTTACTCTCTTGTCATGGGTTTTGGCTCTTTCTGGACCGGCTTCTAGGGGTGGGTACTAGGTGGAGGTCTAAGCACCATACTGAGACCGGGTCTCAGATGTTGGGTGCTTGGAGTCCAAGTTTGGACAGGGACCTGAATCCCATGATAGGAGTGGAACGGGTTGGTATTGTTTATGCCTAGGGCACAAGCGACGCGTGTGTTTCGGGGTACCCAGCTGTGATACATTAATTCATAAATCGCCGTTTCTTTTGAGATGGTAGCGACTTGGCTATGGTCTAGCACCGTAGTAAGAACTAAAATATGAAAGATGGTAAAATAGTTTTGATTGCTTACCACATGCTTGAAAGTAGCTTAGGTGCTTACTTAGAATGATTAGCTAATTAACTAAAAATAACTGCTAAAAACTTTGAACATAAGGATGCACCATTAGTAATGCTTGCTACAAATGCAATGAACCAGCAAGCCAAATAAGCATTGCATATCCTTGGAGTCTTTTATTTTTCTCATATTGAGTAAGTCTTGCTGAGTACAATCGAGTACTCAGGGTTTTATTCCCCCTGTTGCAGGTGACAGGTGGATACTAGAGCTGACTCTTATGTGTGGAAACCTTTTGATGGGCTCAGAGAGGATTTCTTTTACGCTACGATCGTAGTGTTTATAACCCTCACTAAATGTTTTCATAAGAAAAGATGTAAAATTTGCTAGCATATCCTGTATTGAAATGTCCACTACGTTAATGCTTCACCATGTCATTGGATAACTCTTTGTTTTTGCTGTAACTCTGATCATATGCTTAATTTCCGCTGTTGTATTCAACTTGTTTAAGTACTCTAATGTTGTAATAAAGTGATGTAAGAAATGGCTAAGAATGTTGTAAGATTTATCCTATCGTTTATGATCCTGATGAAAGATGTGGATTTTCGAGTTCTCCCGTTGGGTGTGCTCAACGGAACAATCTGAATTAGTGCGCTCCCCTAGGTACTTGGTGTCTAATGGTAGACAGGTACGCTTGGGAGGACATTAACTCAGACGGTTCTGCCACACATAATTCCACACCAGGTAGGTCGTGGCTGCCGGCGACTATCTGTGTTTTAAGTGTTTTATCTGGATGTTGCAATGACAATATATGCATGTTGCAAGCCTATGTTGCAAGTGTTTCATATGTTTCAAACGTATGTTTCAAGTGTTTTATCTGGATGTTGCATATGTTTGCTATGTCTTTTTTCAAATGTTTCAGATGTTTCAGACTTATGTTACAAGTGTTTTATCTGAATGTTGCAAAAGTAGATCTCGATGTTGTATATGTTGCTATGGCTATACACGTATGTTTCAAGCGTATATTTTAAGTGTTTCATCTGTTTCAGACTTATGTTGCAAGGGTTTCATCTTAATATTTCAAAAGTAAATATAGGAGAACACATATTTTCAATGACGCCGGTGGGTGACGGACAGCTGGGCGCCGTCGCGGGTCACCGTGCAGGCACCTGTGGCCAGCAGACGCCTTCGCTGCGCGCATCCGTAGGCAGTGCAGGTGACGGGACCCACGTCAGGCCAGGGAATGGGCGCGGGTGCGGAAGGCTGTTGGGGCGCAGGGATGGGCGCGGGGGCGCGGTGCAATGTCCGAACGCGGGGGATGTGGACTCGAGTGGTGGGCTTGGGAGCTGCATTCGGACGCGCCGTCCATCCAAACATCCGGACGCTAGCCCTTCGGTTGTTTTTTAACGAAAAGAAAACTATATTACTGGGGTCATGCCATGCTGTCGTGATAGAGGCCCAGCCCATTCCAAAGACGGGCTGTGGTCTCGTGGACGAGAATCGCTACCACAGCTCAGCCCTTGTGCAAATGGGCTCCCCTCGTTCTTGGTTTGCGCTGCGCGACGTGAACCCGGGCCGGCGCCGGCGGCTCCTCGCTGACAGCCGGAACGGGGAGTGCCCACCCGTCACGTGAACGGGCCGGCGACGCGGCGGCGCTGCCATGTGACGAGTGACAAGGAGTAGCTGGTGAATCCGGAGCATGCGCGCAAACCCATGGTCATACATCCTCCGAGCGCGCAGCCGTGGGGCACCGGGCGCGCGCGCCACGAAGCGCGATCTGCGGCAGCGTGTCCTCAGGCGCGCGCGTGCGCGGCGGCGGCGTTCATGGTGGAGCTCCGTGGCGAGTCCGAGGCCGCGCCGCTGGACGAGCTCGGTACCGGCCAGCACGGTCACATGGCGTTCCAAGCTCCATGGGGACGGCGCGCGCGCCATGGCGAGGAACACCAACGCACTGCACGGTCCTCGATCGGTGTAGCCCCCAGTCTCGGCTGCCCCACCACCGCAGCGCCTCCGTGTGCATAGCACACCTCAGTCAGGTGCCGGCTTGGTAGGTGACGCTGACGCAGAAGCAGTCAGTCAGGCCACCGTCGCCCAGGCCGCGGAGGTGAATTCAGGTGAGCTTGCCTTTGCCTGTCCCCTTGTTCTCAACCCAATGGATTTCGCATGAACTGAAAACTTTGCTGCGAATTCGGTCATGATATCTTCCGGTTATCTGAACTTGCAATCTGGTTTTACTGCTTACATCCCCATCACTGCAAAGTGCAAAATGGATCTCGCATGAACTGAAAAACTGTGCTGCACAAAGGCACAAACAGCCATCTTTTTACACAGACATCCATTGAAAGAGGCCTGCTTTTTCTTTTTGTTCGTTTGCCTTCTGGATAATCACATCCAGATCAGCGCTCCAGTTCAGCACTGTGAAAAAGAAAAACTGAAAACGACTGACGCAGTTTCTGCAAAAACTCTCTAGAGAGTTTAGGCTGCAGAATCTTCAGCTGGTCAAATCTTATCATGAGGAACGCTCGAATTAGGAGTGCCACTTTTCTGTGCACAGTAAAAGGAAGCAGGCAGGCACACCCCCTGTGGCTATCACTATCCTTTCTCATCGTGTCTAACATTGGTAGGGCAAGAATAAAATTCCAGGACACAATGCTTGCTTCGCTCCTTTCCGTTCCTTTTTGGTTCAGAGTACACAGCAGGCTAGCGCACATGGCTGGCTAGCGTATTTACATTTTTCAGATCTTTTGCTGCTCAACAGTTACTTCTTTTTCTTATATATATAACATCAAGCTTCAAAACACACTTGATTTCACATTAGCTGTTGTTGACGATGATGATAATAGTAGTTATACATGTCCACGAAGGGTTTAGTCTATAGGCAACCCCTGGGACGATTACCGGAAGGAGTTCTTGGTCATCTTTTCCATGAGGTGACACCAACGGCGACATTGCTCACCTGGAACATATCAGAAGAAACAAAACAGTCAAGTCTGATTGATTGTTCATAGTTCACTTGGTGACTTGACAACGAGGGAAAACCAACGAACTATGGTCATATAGTGTTTGAGATAAGCTCACCAGTTTGCCCTTTTCATCCAGCGTCTTAGGATTCTCCACCAGAACCGTCTGGGGCCGAGCATCCTGCAAGTAGGAGCATCAAAGTTGAGCGAATAAAGCCTGTTTCATTATCGACGAACGTGCGGAATGTGCTAATCATTGGTAGTTGCCTACTTGAGGAACTGATTCCCATGAAACCATGGAGCAACCTGAACCTACCAAAGTTGTGATTTTTATGAAGGACAACCCCACAATTGATGCAACAAAAGGGTGGTTGTGCTGTGATCATCAACTGCTTAATGATCCCATCCCATAGAATTACTTTGGACACCAATAGTACTGCCTCCTAATAGCTTTGGTGTTCTATGTATGTGTGGAACTGTACTGACTGTTGAGACTAGGCAAAAACAAGGACTCACCGATTGCGCTGGCCGTGCAGAGCCACCGGCGTTGTTGTTCTGTAGGAAGTAGTTTGTAAACGGAATATGAGTTGTCTTTCATTGACGACACATGCAACGATGATGAGAAAAACGGATTCAGTTCGGCAGTAAACATACATACCCTGACTGGATTGATGTTGCGGCATGTTGGGCACCCGACTGTCGTCGCTCCCGGTGGATATGCCAGAGTTGTCCGGCATTGCCCGCATGACAGGTGCCCCATTTGGTTTCCTGCTTCAGTTTAGGATCAGGAAACTTGTGTCAGCTGGAGGATGAAACTTGCATGAGAATGCAGTTGTAGCTTGTTTGTTGCAGGCAGACTAAAGGGATTTGGACATGAGGTTTCACCTGATCTTGTGGAGTTGAGCCTGCCACAGTGAGGGCAGCGTATGTTGGTGGCGCTGCGGGAGTGAACCAGCATGGTGAAGCAGCCGCCACACACGAGTTCAGACATCTCCGGTCCTACAGGAAACAAAGCAGAGATTTCGCTGAGAATACTGAACAGGCAATTGCATCTTTAGACTGTAGCATCATGTCGACTCTGTTTACGAATAACAATAAGCTGTCTCAGACAAGGAAAAAGGCTTTATGCTTTATGCATGCATATATGTGTGTACCTGATGGGTTAGCGGTGGTGAAAGTGTTGCAGGTTGGGCAGCAGACGCCGGTGGCTCCCCTGCGGTACTGAAGAAGGCGCTTGCAGCCGCTGCAGACCAACTGGCTATGCATGCCTGCAATTGGAAATTGGTGCGGTTAGAATTCCAAATCCCAGCTCAGCTGCAAGAGGATGCAATCATGCAACACTTTGATCTGACAGTTTTTTTTTTCGCGAACGTGGCTTTGCACGTATTACAAAACAGGCTACGTGGCTGTCGTGTATCCATCATCCCTTTCTCTGTGAACTCAAGAAAAAGGAAAAGGAGGATGAACCAGAGCATGTATATATACGCAGCTGTCAGCAGAGTGAGCACGCCAATGGAATGGTGAGCTATCTGCTATATTCTACTGCATTTGCGACCATGTTTTCCTTAATGGAAAGGATGACGCCATGAACTTGGACAGCTCTGGTCACATTTTGCCGCGGGCAAAATTCGACATGCACAACATGTACAGGTGCTAGCTGGCTAGCTGTGCTGTGCATCATCCTGGCCTGAGATCGATCTGTGAACTTCTAAAGCATGCTACGTAGGCAATGCCCAGGGTGTCGCATCGCAGCTATAGATGAGATGAGAAACTCAGAGCTTGCGCACCATGGTAATAACCTAGCTGCCGCACAAGAAGGAGAAAGAAAGGAATCTGCTAAACCCTGAAACCCAAGCATGCAAGCCATAGGGCAAGAATGAAGATTTACCAAGGCAAGAACCCCAAGCTATATTCCGAACAACGCACGTACGTGCGGCTTTGAACTGCAGCTAAGCTAGCTGGAGGAGGGGGGGGAGAGAGAGAGAGAGAGAGATGTTGGAGAGAGGGGGTTTGGGTTGTGGAGCTCCACGGTGGCAGGAGACGGGGGGTTGGGATCATATTTAAGGGCGGGCGGGGGATGGCCGGCCGGCCAGCCGAGGTGGATTCTCTCATCTCTGGGGCGGGGCGAATGGGATGGGGGATAGATTATTATTCGCTGGCCTGGCCTGGCCATGGAGGAATCCCGGAAAGAAACCGACGTCGGCGCCGGGGGGAGATGATGCTGAGTGGATGGATGGGCGATGCCTGTGCGTGTGCCTGGGATGGATGAATGGATGCCTTTCGGATATATGCCCTGTTTGCTTGGCTGAGAAGCCATCGCTGAAAGTACTATTGACTGATTTGTTATGAGAAAAAAATACTAATCGTTCGTTGAAAAAGTACGACTTATAAACAAGCGAAGGGAACGATGGCCGAATTCCCTACCCACGCTAGCGAGCGTAGGTTCAGCTGCCGAGCTCTCTTCCCTGACCTCTCCTCCTCCTTCCATCCAATCTCCCCCCTTGGCGCCAATAGCTTGCTCCATCGGGCTTCTTTTCGTTTCCCGAAGAACAAAAACTTGTTTCGGATTCGGTTCTGACTTGTCAAGGCGGGCGCGACAAGTGTGTGCTCGCTCGTTCCCTGGCTGCCTCGGCTTGGAATGGATGGCTTTACACGTCGGCTTGGAATTGCGGTTTCAATTCCGCCACACTCCTAAAATTCATGTCACATTAAATGTTTAAATACTAATAAAAAACATTAAATATAAATTAATTATAAATCCAATTACATAGATGGAGGCTAATTTACAAGACGATTTTTAAGCCTAATTAATCTGTCATTAGCATATGTTTACTGTAGCACCACGTTGTCAAATCATGGACTAATTAGGCTTAAAAGATTCGTCTCGCAAATTAGTCGCAAGTTGTGTAATTAGTTTCGTAATTAGTCTATATTTAATACTCCATACATGTGTCTAAATATTCGTTGTAACAAAAATTTTAGAAGCGCCTATAGAAACCAAACAGGGCCTTAGCTTGGCACGCCTTCCAACTAGCATCAGAGCTAGAGGAGCTACCTTTCAGTTGGAGCTGTCTTGGAGGCCGTACGAACACGCACTCTTTTATTCTGTTATTATACTGCTACCTCTGTCTTCAAAAGAATATAATTATCTAATTCAATTGTAAACTTGTACTACTGTTTGTTTATTTTAATTATGCTGTACGGGTGCAAACCCCTCCTATTTTTTTTTTAAAAAAGCAAAAGAATGCAATTATGGAACCATGCCAATCAAACTAACTCATATTTAACCAAGTTTATAGTAGTAATTAATATTAGCATTTATGACTCTTAACAATAAAAATATATTCTATAACCAATCTAATGGTATTTATTTTATATCATACTCACTCTGTCCAGAAAAGAATATAACTATGGGTTGCGTGGTGACAAAAGTAGTCCATATTTGACCAAGTTTTTAGTGAATACTATTCGTATTTATGACTCCAAATTAATTTATTATGAAAATATATTTCATAATTAATCTAATGGCATTTATTTGATATCATAAATATTAATACTTTTTTATCTATAATTAGTCAAACTTAAGATTCTAAAACATGACATTTAGCTAGAATTGCATTATTTTCGGAACGGAAGGAGTAAATGTTAGTACTTTTTTATATAAATTTAGTCAAAGTTCAAATTGATATATTCTTGAAAACTAAGAATTGCATTCTTTCGTGGACAGAGTGAGTACTACCCTCACTTTTGTGTACCTAGATAATGTTTAAGTACTCTGGGTTTAGAACATGGGATTTTTTTCTCTATTCAAATATTTTTCAAGGAAATTGAACTGATTTATGTGGAATTCATGAATGATTCTTCGAAAATTAATTCATGTATATTCCAAACAGATTTTAAACTTTGTATGGTCTTCTATCACACCCAGTTTTAAAGATAAAACTGTGTACTAACTATATGTGTGCCTAGGAAGTCAAATCACACATATAGCGACAAATTACAATAGTATCAAGAGACAATGCTTTATTATATAACGAAATATACTCATATTCAATACTTACATAGAGTATCGCGGAACTGTAGGTGATCTTTAGGCTCCATCCTTCACAGGGACAGTTGACTGGGGGTAATATATGCCTAGTACTTCTATAGTCTTCTAGGAACTCCTGTGTGTCCTCATCAATCTTCTGAGCAACTTTACTACAGTCTGGGGGTGTGGGAAAATAGCAAGGGTGAGCACATGTCGTACTCAACAAATATAACAAGGGGTTCATGAGGCTTGAAAGGATGACACTGGTTTACTTCGATTAGCTTTTAGTGAGTCACAATTTTAAGCAATTGAGTAGTATCAAATTTATCGTAATCCCATATAAACAAATGATAAGGTAAACATGAATAAAGAATAGCATAAACAATTATCTATTAATGATTATTTATTTCATAAGAGTTCCAAGGCCGCTCATGACTGTGAGCACAATTGATATATCAGTTTTTAACACTCTGTAGACGTTGTACATCTTTACTCATGAGCCATGATTTACCCTTTCGCTCGAGGTGATCAGCCTCTTGACCCACTACTAAGGAAGGTCGGCAGGGTTCATTATGAAGCCTTTCAAAGGTTCGTCTAACAAGTTAGGGCCGCTAAGTTTTCAATTGACAAGCATATATAGGAAACCCCCTTTCGAATTCCTTTACGGCTATACACCTAGGAACAGAGGCTGTCCTATACCCGAGTTGTCAAGCCCCTCTTGCGCCCTTACGGTAACCACTAACAAGGTAGAAAATATCCCCATACTTGACTAAAGCTAGAGCCATGTAGCACTCATGGTTGTACCGTAAGTCCCGGTAACCACTTATAGATAAGTTCTTAAGAAGAGGAATCTAGAGCATCGCAAAAACTATGCTCTAGTCCCCTTGTTCCTTGTTGCTAAAAAACATCTTTTAGTGTTTATTGCATATACCATTAGTCAAGTTACAAGATCATGTTCTTTAATTGAGCGCTAGCATCATACTACCCAAATACATAAACCCGTAGGAATCAAGGTAGAGGGTAACAAAGTACTAGTAAATCCTTAGTGGTAGTCAACGTAGACACATGCAATATTATTAAAATATGATTAATGTGATTAGAACAACAAGGATGATCCCATGCTATACTTACCTAAACACTTGCTCAAACTTCCTCGTACTTGCTTCTGGTCATCATCAGCTTATGATCTTCAGCGCTCACAAGCTGTTCTCGTTCTACTCATAGCAAGCACCACACATAGGCAAACATACAAGCAACAAATAAGAGCAACTAAGAACAGTACACCACTCAAGATAAAATAACGTACTAAAAGAGAGCTAATTCTATGGTCACAAGATCACAAGAAACACCGATAACAGAGCTATCGTTAAAAAGAAACGACTATCGAGAGTTTTATATATATTATAAAAAGAAAAGAAAAGCCTACATGCTTCATTTATTTTAATTGAGTAAAACCATGTAAAAATTATTAAGAGCAGATTAGTCAAAACATAACTTAATTTAAAACTCGAGTTGAAATTACTCATGTTTTATTTATAAACAACGCCATATAATTTAATCAAGTTAAACTTTTACTTTACAAAAAGAAAAGGATATGAGAGCATCTAAACATGTTTTTATATGATTGTGTTTGAGCCTAACAAATTATAATCAAAACATATTTAAGTTGATATTAATCAATCTAATATTCATTTATAAAAGGTCGATATGACAATCCTCGATTACTTTTAATTAATAAACTAGTTGCATGTATATTAATTAAATTAATATTTAGTTTATAAATTACTAGCATGTAAGTATGTAACACGTCAACGCCGCTGATAGGATGTAGAATAAACGGAGAAGAACTCGAACATGCAGATGCTCACCAGCAATAGAAACAGGACGACGACCATGGCAGGCTCGGCAGGAGCAGGATCAGAAGATGGCAGCACAACTCAAACAGGGATTTAGGGTTCGTCTCGATGAAGATCCCCATGTCTACGAGTTCTCCGTCCATGCAAGCGGCGCACGCGACGATATGATTGGTGCTCAGCATCCAGCTGCAGGAGTGGGCGTCAGCGGCCTGCTACACAGGCCGCGAGCTGCACATACGGCAGGAGCTCCAGTCGTCCATTGCCTGAAGGTCACGGCAAGACGTACGTACAGAAACTGTATATGTACATAGAGAGGTGATGAGGAACAGGCAACATCGATAGTGTTGTTACGAGTCACGGAAAGAAGAAAAAGGATTTCGAGAGATTGACCAAGAGCTGCTGCACACATGACCATGGCCTGACTGCTGCCCTGCTTGAGCCTTCGTGGCCGGCTCACATGCAGGACCGGAGTCGACCAAGATGAGGTAGGGTCGATTGCAGTGCACAATGGTATGCTAGTTGAGGAGAAGCGTCGCGGGATGTTCAGAAGTCACTGAACGATGCTGCTCCATGAAGGTTTGCTGAAAAAGTGTCCGGAAAAGAGAAAGAAGGGGACAAGGTCAACCGCTGATGGATTGATGAAAAGAAAGATACTACAGCGTAGAGAGAGATCTACCTTGTGGCGACGGTTTTGGCCGGAGACGTGGTTGGCTGGCGGCGACATGAGAAGGAGGAGAAAAATCTAATTTACTACACGAGATTTTTCAAACTAGAGGCTCCCCTTACGGTGGTTTTGGTGTGCTTTGCCCAAGGGATTGGTACGTATATATATAGGGAGAAAAACTCCCCACCTCCACTTCAACTAGCAATATGGTACTAAATGACATTGCACCATCTACCTACACTAATGAGCCTAAATAAACATTAAAACCCATTAGTAAATAAATGGCCTTTGAGATTTATAATAAGAATTATTGCATATGGGCTTTGAGGGTCGATGGGAAATTGTGCTTGGATTTTTCTAATTTCGAAATTAAATAATTCATGAAATAAACGTTACCATTTATATCACGAAAAATGCTCCGAAGCTTAGAAAAATCCCTAGAAAAATCCTGGAGACATATTAAAGGATGAAGAACTCAAATCAAATACTTGGAGCTCACGAAAAGATATTTTGGAGCATCTAAAAATTAGATTACGCTCGAAGAAAAGTGAGAAAAAAAGCTTTAGAAAAGCTAGAAAAATTCTTGGGAAAGATGAAGAAGATAGATTTATGATGGATGAACACAAAAGATAAATTTTGAGCACCTGAAGAGGATCTTGAGAAACACCGAATGAATAGATTAGGATCGAGAAAAAAAGAATTTGATTATAGAAAAAGACAGAGATGAGCCAGAGATAGGTAAACGACTTACTAAACACATTTTTTTAAAATTTATTCATTCATAACATCAAATCAAACTACAAGCAAGCATCACATCATCCAAACGTCTGTCAAAATTAGAAAACTTTGAAAATTCACATTTTTCCTATAACTAAATTTGTGCTATCTCCAACTAAACTTGGTAAATTTTATATCAAGATTGAAATCATTTTTAATTTATTTAGAGTTTTCTATGCACAACCTAAAATTGGATT